CACAGTTAGATACAAAATAGATAAATAAAGACACAAGCGCAGGTGTCCCTAAACAGACTCAAACGCCAAAGAATAAAAATGTGTTTTAAGTCGAGACTTAAAAGTGTGGATGGTGGGGGATGATCTAATAATCAGGGGTAGATTATTCCACAGTCTTGGGGCCACCACTGAAAAGGCACGGTCAGCCTTTGTTTTCATACGAGACTGTGGGATGGCTAAGAGGGATTGGTTTGATGATCTTAGGGGTCTGGAGGAGTTCTGAAATATAAGATGGGGCCAGTCCATGTAATGCCTTTAAAAACAATTAACAGCACCTTAAAATCGATTCTATATTTGACTGGTAACCAGTGAAGAGCAGCCAATATTGGGGATATATGGTCCCTCTTCCTTGTACCAGTTAACAATCTCGCAGCTGCATTTTGAACAAGCTGCAAGTGTGATAAAGATGAGTAACAGATACCGATACAGAGTACAAGGAATTGCAGTAATTAATTCGAGAGTATATAAGAGCATGCAAGACCATTTCAAGGTCCTTTACAGAGAGAATGGATTTAAGTTGTGCATTGGTCTTTAAATGAAACAGACTTTATATGTTTGTAGAATTTTAATGCTGAATCAAAGATAACCCCTATGTTCCTAGCAAATGGTTGTACATTAATGGACAGGGGGCCCAGATTTTTTGATAATTCCTCAATTGAGTTAGGGGAACGAAATAATATTATTTCTGTCTTGTTTTCATTTAGTTGGAGAAAGTTGATTGCCGTCCAGCGCTTAATATCATTTAGACAGTTGTAAACAGACTGTAAGGACTTTGACCTGGCTTCCGAGGTAAGTACAGCTGTGTAACATCAGCATCGCAGTGGTATATATATTATGTTTACGGAGAATGGAGCCCAAGGGAAGCATATACAAAGAAGATTAGATAAGATTGGCCCCAGGATTGAACCTTGAGGTACTCCGCCCTTAATTGCTTCTGAAGAAGAGGAAATGTTACCAATGTTAACAGAAAAGTTCTATCTATCAAATATGAGTGAAACCACTGTAGCGCAACACCACCTGGATACCAACCCCTTGCTGGAGGCAATCCAGGAGGATGTCATGATTAACGGTGTCAAAAGCCATGCTGAGGTCAAGCAAGAGTAAAATAGCACAATTTCCAGAATCACCAAACAGCAAGAACTCAGTCTGGCCTGAGTAAATTCTCCCCATGCAGCGTCGATGTGTCTAAAAGCTAACATGTTGGAACCACCTTTTAAGACCAATTATATTGGACCAACTCACTTTTACTGTCTGAAATTCAGCGCATCTGTTTGTTGATCTTTCAGAGCATCGTCAATCAAATCCATTCCACTTGAGGAATGCACTAATAAATTAAACTCCATTCTACAGCCGTCACTTTCACGCTGCTGTTTCTTCAAATCCATTCCACTTGGCTCATTTAGAGTCCATGTAAGTTAAACTCCATTCCTTGTTTTCACTGCTCGTGCCTGCTACACTGCTGCGACACAGCGAGGTAAACAAAGCATTTTAGCATTGCTGCTCAGGTGTGTCTTTGTGCTTACACACTGTCACTACATCACCTGATGTTTTTAAAGGCATCATGTGGGTTTTGTTGCAGCATTGAATTACAGTTACACTTACACTATGTTGTTATAGCACTTATAACAGAGTTATCTGACATTTTTGCTTGGCTAGCTAGCTACAGTAATGTTAACATTAATCAACCAGTGTTAGCAGCTCTTTGAAACCTGTCAATGAGAGAAGCTAGCTGTGGTACCTGTGCCAAATCTGATTCAAAAATGGACTGGAAAAAATTATTGTTTTTTTCATCTGCATGTTGACTTCAAGAAACTTCAGGCTGAGACCTGCCTCTTGTCAATCTGACAATCGAAGCTTCGCAGTGAAACAAGGATCATGCCATTTTGGCGATATGGGGGTGTGCAACATCTGTTTTTACATAGAACTACCAGTTTTCTCCCAATGAGTTAATATACAGCCTATTACAATATACATTTCAACATTTAATGCTGTAAATAAACATAATAAACAATAAATGTTTTTAAAGTGCATGAATAAATCCAAAATTGTAACCCTAACCCTGGGTCGTCAGTGCGCATGTGAAGGCGTAGCGTGTGTGTGTGTATGGTGGCAGAAGAGGAACGCTTGCTGAAGAGACACTGGTGTTGTGCCGAGTTGTTCGCACCTCGCGGGACTTTCAGATAATTTATCACCCTTGATGAACACACAAAGAATATTTTATCATTTAAATAGCCAGCTACTTGAAATAGACAGAGGAAACGCTACGTGCATGCAAAACTCTGCACAAGAATGGTGAATGGCAGGCGAGAGAGAAAGAGAGAGAGAGGGAGTTTTCAAAAAGCCTCAGTTTAGCTGGAAATTTACAGTGTAAGTTGAATGAATAGAAACTGCAGCTCTGCAGCTTCTCAAGATTAAAGTGGAGCCACCATGTGTAAATTAAAACATTAGAAACTTTAAAAAAAGAACTCCTGACACCCGGACGGTTTGGCCTGAAATGGACCTGCCGTTCGTGAACTTTCCCGCACTCCCCTATGGCCAGTCCGCCCCTGCTCAAGAGTCAGTCAGTGCTTTGGGTTATACTTCCTAATGTTTTCAAATGTTTTGGCATTTTTAACAGTAACTTTTATGCAGAGAAGATGACTTTATGAGATTCTTTATAGTAACCAGCTACCTTATAACTTCATCAATTTACATGCAGAACAGGTTTTACAATATGACAGTATTTATACTTTTATTTAAATACATGCAAATATGCTTTATTGCCTTTTAGGTTATTGTTTATTATTTAAAATGAGTGCTTCCATGGGCGCTGCCATTGTCGTGTGACGTAATTCAGCTGTTACTCGTGAAGTCGGGGTACATACAGTGGGTACGGAAAGTATTCAGACCCCTTTAAATTTTTCACTCTTTGTTTCATTGCAGCCATTTTCCAAAAATCAAAAAAGTTCATTTTATTTCTCAGTAATGTACACTCAGCACCCCATCTTGACAGAAAAAAACAGAAATGTAGAAATTTTTGCAAATTTATTAAAAAAGAAAAACTGAAATATCACATGGTCATAAGTATTCAGACCCTTTGCTCAGTATTTAGTAGAAGCACCCTTTTGATCTAATACAGCCATGAGTCGTTTTGGGAAAGATGCAACAAGTTTTTCACATCTGGATTTGGGTATCCTCTGCCATTCCTCCTTGCAGATCCTCTCCAGTTCTGTCAGGTTGGATGGTAAACGTTGGTGGACAGCCATTTTCAGGTCTCTCCAGAGATGCTCAATTGGGTTTAAGTCAGGGCTCTGGCTGGGCCATTCAAGAACAGCCACGGAGTTGTTGTGAAGCCACTCCTTCGTTATTTTAGCAGTGTGCTTAGGGTCATTGTCTTGTTGGAAGGTAAACCTTCGGCCCAGTCTGAGGTCCAGAGCACTCTGGAAAAGGTTTTCGTCCAGGATATCCCTGTACTTGGCCGCATTCATCTTTCCCTCGATTGCAACCAGTCGTCCTGTCCCTGCAGCTGAAAAACACCCCCACAGCATGATGCTGCCACCACCATGCTTCACTGTTGAGACTGTATTGGACAGGTGATGAGCAGTGCCTGGTTTTCTCCACACATACCGCTTAGAATTAAGGCCAAAAAGTTCTATCTTGGTCTCATCAGACCAGAGGATCTTATTTATCACCATCTTGGAGTCCTTCAGGTGTTTTTTAGCAAACTCCATGCGGGCTTTCATGTGTCTTGCACTGAGGAGAGGCTTCCGTCGGGCCACTCTGCCGTAAAGCCCCGACTGGTGGATTGCTGCAGTGATGGTTGACTTACTACAACTTTCTCCCATCTCCCGACTGCATCTCTGGAGCTCAGCCACAGTGACCTTGGGTTCTTCTTTACCTCTCTCACCAAGGCTCTTCTCCCCCGATAGCTCAGTTTGGCCGGACGGCCAGCTCTAGGAAGGGTTCTGGTCGTCCCAAACGTCTTCCATTTGAGGATTATGGAGGCCACTGCGCTCTTAGGAACCTTAAGTGCAGCAGAAATTTTTTTGTAACCTTGGCCAGATCTGTGCCTTGCCACAATTCTGTCTCTGAGCTCTTCAGGCAGTTCCTTTGACCTCATGATTCTCATTTGCTCTGACATGCACTGTGAGCTGTAAGGTCTTATATAGACAGGTGTGTGGCTTTCCTAATCAAGTCCAATCAGTATAATCAAACACAGCTGGACTCAAATGAAGGTGTAGAACCATCTCAAGGATGATCAGAAGAAATAGACAGCACCTGAGTTAAATATGAGTGTCACGGCAAAGGGCCTGAATACTTATGACCATGTGATATTTCAGTTTTTCTTTTTTAATAAATTTGCAAAACTTTCTACATTTCTGTTTTTTTCTGTCAAGATGGGGTGCTGAGTGTACATTACTGAGAAATAAAATGAACTTTTTTGATTTTTGGAAAATGGCTGCAATGAAACAAAGAGTGAAAAATTTAAAGGGGTCTGAATACTTTCCGTACCCACTGTATATTTTCTCCTCGAGTTCACAAGTGGGAAATCCAACATCGGGTAGCGTTCCATGGTACTTTTTGTAGTTGGAGGTTGGAAATTTCCCAATTCCGGGTTGCCTGGAATGCAGCATTTGTCCACTGGGGATTCATGGAGAGATGAAAGGAAACCATGCCAGGAGAGAAGAAACGAGGAAATATGTTGTAGAGACATGAGACATCCTTTCCTGTGAAGTGTCACGTGAAGCGGTGTCCGTTTCTGATGACAGCGGCAGACGCTGGGGACATGTCCCCACCACTTGGCCACCAAGGAGATTTGGGTTATCTAGCTCTGCTTTAAATTGTTTTATGGATAAGTTTGATCTGACTACTCAAGACAATCTAGAATTGACTACTAGCCGTCATCGAGATGTTTATTGAATAACATTTCAGTCAATATCTGTAACTCCTATGACTGATCATAAAGTGAAATATTTCCTCCTTGAGCATGAACAGGTCAAACTACAAATTAGGGAAATGATCAACACTTTTTGGAGCAGAGCAGAAACTCAGAATTCTTATGGGAGGAACATGGAGCTCCTAAAATATGAGATGTGGAAGTTTCTCAAGAAATTCGGTGGTGACCGAGCCAAGGAGAAAAGAGCAGCTGAGGAGGAAGTTATTGTGCACTTAGCTTCTCATTCCCAATGGGAGGACCTTTCTGATGAGGAGAGATGAGAATATAATAAACCACAAATAAATTAGAAGACATATATAAAGCAAAAGCTGAGGGAGCATATGTTAGATCCAGGAAAAAATAGATAGAAGAGGGTGGGCAAAACTCTGCCTTCTTCTTTAGTCTGGAAAAAAGGCAGTCCTCACTGGTTACTGTTGATCAGATTAAGGTAGATGGTAAAATAATTGACAACCCCAGAGAAATAGTCTCTTATTGCAACAACTTCTATAGAAAGTTATACACTTCTAATTAGTGAGGCAACTACCAACTCCTTTATAGAATCTATTGGCCACTGCAAAGTTATATCCCCAGAAGATAGAGATTTCTGTGATTACAGTATTTCCCAGGGTGAGGTGTTAACAGCTATTAGAGGTCTGAAATATAACGGAAGCCCAGGGTGTGATGGCATAACAGCTGAACTATATTAAATGTTTGATGAATTTCTATTTCCTTTTCTGCGTTTTCTTAGAGAGTTCAGAAAAAGAAGCTCTTCCAACAACTATGACACAATGTGTCATCAGTCTGATACACAAAACAAAGAACTAAACAAAGGCAGACACTGTTTAGAGAATTGGTGCGCTACCACTCTCCTAAACAAACAGTCCCAAGTGAGAGCTGCGTGGAACAGAACCAGGAGACCCTAAGGTTACTAACTGTGTGGCCGCTACGGTTTGCTGTCTTCGCCGTCGTGTGTTGGTATCGTGTACTGTCTCTTGTATTGTAGGCTAACAGTTAGCATCAGCCGAGTCACAGCTGGTAACGGAACGATGCGGGGTAGCCTGAAACGTGGCTGGTGTGTGAGCTGCAGCTGTGGGCCAACTTACTAACAAGGATAATACTGAAGTTATACCAAACACTTCATCATCAAATACACAGCAGAATACACCACAGAAGTCTCCCACTGAGCGAGACGAAAAGTTACTCATTAAAAATGTTTTAGGGCTGGGCGATGATATATTATCTCTGAGCAAGCTGTAAGGTTAATAAAATTTTGGTTTCTAATATATGAAGACGTTTGTCTGATGTAATACTTATCCATGAGAGTTAGTTGCTTTCAACATTAGTTTGTTTTATGTTATGTTAAGACATTTGTTATATCGTGATTATATCACCATCCGTAGTACATTATTTTGAAAATAGCCTTAATTCTCTGATGTCTGCAGGTCTAAAGTTGATTTGCGGTGTCAGATAAGAGGCATATTCATTGTCTGATTATGAAATTTTTGCCCTTATTTTTGCTAATAGACTTAAAGAAGTGTTGATAGATGAATCACAGTCCAGGTTCATGAGGAAACAACATATTGCAAACAACATTAGATTAGTGCTGGACATATTAGATTATAATGAGCTGTTACTTGATTTTTACAAGTCGTTTGATTCACTTGAACACTGTTTTATTTTGAAAGCCCTTAAAAACTTTTGGAGATGGTTTCTGTAGAACTGTCAGAACCCTATATGAGAAAGGCAGTAGTGCAGTCAAATTGAAATTTGGCACTTCGCCTAGATTCAGTGCGTCACGTGGAGTCAAACAAGGATGCCCTGTTTCTCCTCGCTCTTTGTGTCTCTAACAGTGCCTTGGAGGGGATAACTATAGCTAATAGACATATTATTATTAGCCAGCTCGCAGATGACACAACAGTTTTCCTGAGAGATGCCTCCCAGATTTCCCCTGCAATAGAACTAATTCATGGTTTCTCACTGGCGTCTGGTTTAAAGTTTAACTTGCGAAAATGTGAACTAATGGCAGTTCAAGAATGTCTCTTCTATATTTGATATTCCTGTGATGGATAAGGTAACTTACTTTGGAGCAGTTATCTCCAAAGACCAAAATACAAGAAATCATCACAAAACACACAAGAAATTAAACCATTGGGATTTATATGTGAGAGGCAGAATATTACTATCTAAAGCAGAAGGCATATCCAGACTCACTTATTGGCTCTGTCTTTGGATGTTAACACTGTGTTATCCAAAAGAATTGACAATATGTTTAATTTTTTGTGGAAAAACAAAACTCATTTTGTTAAAAACTCTGTGATTATGAACACTACTTGGTGTGGGGGTTTGAATTTCTGGACTTCATAACTCTAAACAACACCTTCAAAAATCAGTTGGCTTAAAAAATTTACTTATAATCCTTCATCGTTATGGAATTTCTTTCAAAATGCAATTTTTTCCAAGATTGGTAGCCTGGACTTTCTTTTATTGTGTAATATAATATCAGCAAAATCCCTGCCAAACTATCAAAGATTCATAAGCAAATGCTTTTGTCCTGGTCTCTCTTATTTAAACATAACTTCTCTCCATACAGATAATCTATTTGGAATAATAAGGACATTCTCTATAAAAACAAGTCAATATTTTTGGAAAATTGGTTTAATAATAATATTTTACTTGTTTGTCAACTGTTTGATACTAATGAGAGACTCTATAGCCTAGCAACGACATATCAAATTCCCATATCAGTTAAACATTATGTGATTGTTTTTGATGCCGTTCCTCCAGGAGTCAGGATGCTGCTGGGAGGCATTAACTTCCGATGGCCACTTCATCACACTATCAATTTATCTGACACTGCTGTGGGGAGTTTATGCTTCCACAAAGCAACGGGTTACTAAAACTTATTAGTGTTGTGGGTCCAGCCCGGCTGACGGTGAGTGTCCTGGTTTGTTCTCGTTTTTGTTCTCCCACTGTTTTGTTCTCCTGTATTCTGCCTGCCTCCCTGTGTCTCCTCCCCTGCGTGTTCTCCTCTCTCTCCCTCCGCTCCTGAGCCCAGCCAATGACCTGCACCTCGTCAGCAACCTCCCCAGCCTGCCACACTTGCCAGTAATCAACCTCATCCCTGCCCGTATAACAACCCCGGTTCTCCACTCCATCTTCGCTTGGTCGTTGTTGCTCCCAACCTGGTGCCAACCTCTCTCAAGCTCTGGTTAACCTCAGAAGTGATCTTTGTTTTCCAGCCCCCGGTTATTCCCTGTGTTATCTCTGTCTCTCTGCTTTCCCTCCCAGGTTCACTCACCCTCGTCCTCCGTTCTGTCGGCCGGGCTCATCCTCTGGTCCTCTCCTCTCAGGTTTCCTCCACGGCGCCCTCCTGGGTCCCCCCACTCCTCGCCTCACCGCCTGCGCCTCGCCTGCTCCTCGGTCCTCCGTGTCCACATCCCCCGGTGTCCACCTCTCCTCCATCTCCTCTTCCCTAGCCCCTCTGTAAACTCTCAATAAACCTCCTTCCCTCTGAGAGTTGCGTTTGGGTCTGTTCTGTCCAGTCTCATAACATATTAGAGGTTTATCCCCAAAAAATATTGTTGGGTAAGCATATATCAGGTAGGTGTGAATTTTGTGAGTCTGTGGAACGTGATTTTTTGAGTGTCAGAAATAGATGAGAGAGGGCATAAGAAGGTTAGGGCAGGGGTGTAGGTGCGACTTCGAACCTGGGGGGGGGACGCTGAAAAGCACTTATAGTTGATAAATAAATAGTCTGCAAATAGTAGTATTATTTTTCTCTATTCTTTTTTTGTTTTTATTCTTTGCATTGTTTATTCCATATTTATATATTTCTACATTTATTTATGTCAGCTGTGTATGTTTGTCTGCATGTAGCACCTTATCACCAAAACAAATTCCTCCTATGTGTTACACTACTTACACTACAGTTATTGTTGTTATTATTGTTATTATAATCATTAACATTACGATGGTTACCATTAACACTATTATAAATATCTGTACCATTTTTCATTTAGTCTATAGCAACATCACCTTCACTGTCTGTACCTCTGTGTGTATATTGTGTAGGCCCCCCGCCTCTCTCCCCAACCGTCGAGGCAGTTTCTGCCTCTTAAAAGGAAGTTTTTCCTTGCCTCTGTCGCCTAGTGCTTGCTCTTGGTGGGAACTGTTGGGCTTCTGTAAATATCATCACAGAGTACGGTCTAGACCTGCTCTTTTATGAAAAGCGGTGTGAGATAACTGTTGTTGTGATTTGGCGCTATATAAATAAAATTGAATTGAATTGAACTACTTGGCAATAAAGCTCCTTCTGATTCTGATTAAAGCAGCTAGTAGCTGCTGAGTGAAAGCCAAGATTAGCTTCACCTGCAACATTCTGTTCAAATCGCTATTAAACAGTAACCAATGTAAAAAACAAAAAACAAACAAAAAAACAGGCTAATATCCATCAAAAGAAATCGATGCTCTTTTCAACAACAGGATACTGTTAATATATCAGAATAAATCTAGTGATCATGTAACTTAGATGTTACAGTGTGAAGTTTACGTTTTCTCTGCAGAGACTAAAGACGCTTTTAATGCGGCGTTAATGGAAAGTGAAAGTAGGTGCTGGCCGGCTTGTTAAAGAGCAATGCAGGCTGCTTTCTTACAGGCCAACAGTGCCATGGTGTGCGCTGACTGGATTTCAGTTGTATCAGTAGAACAATAAAACCTTAAACTGAAAAGGTATTTCCCTGATTTTCTAAATGTTTACATCTAACCCAGCTCATTCATATCTGTGATAAGCGCCCCTCTCTGTACCACAAAGGAGACCTGGCCTTCTTCTGCGTAACTGCGCACAGCCTGGCTTACAGCTCATTTCGGTTAACAAAGCCTATTGCAGCTTACAGACTGGTGAAGTTATGAAGGTATGAAGGGAAAATGTAGCGAAAGTAAAAGTAGATAACTGGCCCACAGAAAATACTGGAGAAAAGAGTAAAAGTAGGCTACAGTTTTAAAAAAGGAACGTGAAAAGCTGCCAATAACTTTTTATTTTATATATTTATTTTGCAAAATTACGTTACTTGTAACAAGTTACTACCCACCCTGCAGCAGGCGTCCCCACTGCTCTCTTCAGGTACAAAAAGAGCAGCACAAAATAAACGTAATATTGAGGCACGTTGCTGCACCTGCCTCGAGCTAACTCTTTTTTTCTCCTTTAACTTTTCAGCACCACATTTGCCTTGTGACGCATGTTTTCTATAGGCTACATGATTTTTGTCCGCGTTTCAACCGTTTAATCATGTATGATGCAGAGTGTGTGATTGATGAATTAACTAGTCACTCAAACCGCCTGGCCATGAGCCAACTCCAAAATCGCCGAAAAAAGTAAGAGGGACAAAACATAGATTTCAAAATGTGGGGGGGCCATGTCCCCCTCACGTATAATGGCTCCTACGCTGTGGTTAGGGTGTCAAGGGAATTCACTTCGGAACTTATTACTGGGAAGGTCAATAAATTACATTAATACAGTTATTTAGATTCTTAAAGCAGTGGTTCTCAAAGTGGGGACCGGGGTCTAATTTGTGTCAGTATAATGGTCCTTGACGTGAGAAAGGTTGAGAACCACTGTCTTAAAGGACACAGGACTGACAGAAAGGTATAGTTTATTTTTTGGTTTTGTTTCAGTTTTGTTGTGATGGTTTTATTTATTTCCGGCCCACACTCCTGGAGAGTAGGTGGCGGTAAGGCACCATAAAAGTTAGATGCCAACCACCATTTAACAACAAAGAAGAAGGAAGAAGAAGGAGGAGGAGGAGGAGGAGGAGCCAGTGGGGCAAAAATTTAACAAAAATAGATAATTATGAAATTATAATCAAGGCACCTTATTTCCATTCATTCAACAGTTATTGTTCAGCTCTTCCTTCTGTGTCACTGTAGCTTTACTATGTCATACTTGTAGTTTTGAGAGTCTTGTTACACATACGAAAGGTAGTAGATTTTTTCATTTTCCAATAAACAACCAGAGAAAACAAAACAAAAACTATCTCAAGTTTTAGCTGAGAGTAGACATATTGGTGCTTGTATATAACTACAGATAAGTTACATTGAGTTCTGAGAACACCAGTTATCACTCCAGACCTATAATAGAGGTAATCCAGGTGATATGTATCTGTTTATCGTTAATTGAACACTAAATATTGCAGCATAGTGTGACACAATTTTTGTATTGGCTGGTGTTTGTCCGACAATACTAGTAAGGAAGATAAATAATTCTTTAATCCATTCCTGAAACAATTCAACATAGGTTTTTGCTTCTTCCATTTGCATACGTGAATGTGATATTTTCCCATAATTATGATAATGTTAACCATCTCACATATATCCTTGGACAGGTTATTGTTGTATAATAAAATCTGCTGTGCTTCAAAGTTATTTATGTTCTTTATTCTGACATTAAGCCAGTCTTTCATGTTTTGCCAGAACTGTAATGTAATTTGACATGAAAAGAAAGATGTTCAGTAGTTTCTGGCTCCACCAGACAGAAACAACAGAGGTCAACCTCAAATCTGAATCTTTTTTGCAATGTTTCTGCGGCTGGATAATACCCATTAATAATTTTAAATTGCATTTCTTTTATTTTTGGAGAAATCGGCCATTTCAGGTATTTTAAATATTTATCTATGATTAGTAGTTATTATCTATTGTTTTAATATTTGCTTTTTTTGCATAATCATGAAAGGCTTTGCGAATAGCTTTATTGTTGCACTTCCTATCGCTGATTTGCATTTGTCCAATCTTTAATTCTGGCAAGACTACTTGTACGTTTGATTGTAAGAGCGTGTTTTGGATTAGGTTCACAAGAGGAAGTGGTATTACTTTACATATTGTGCTATATTCCTTATATGAGCACTGGATTTTAAATTTGTCTTTAAATGTATTAAACTGAAGAATCCTACCACTGTCATCCATTAGGTCTGTTACAAAAACAATATTTTTGTTATACCAAATTGGGTTAAATAAGGTTTTCCTATTAATAGTGATTGTTCTGTTGTTCCACAAGATGGAGTCATGTGGAGTAAAATTGTGGGAAAATATCATCTTCCAGTAGAATAGTACTTGTTTGTGGAATTCTGACACCTTCACAGGTAGTTTATTAAATTCAAAGTCATATTTTAGCAAAAATTCTAACTCTCCCATTTTCTTAAATATGATTCTGGGGATATGAAACCAAATTGAGTCAGTCTGTGACATAAAGGCTTTGATCCAATTTATTCTAAACACCATGGATTCAAAGTCTAGTGTTGTCAGACCTCCTTTGTTATTTTCTCTGACCAGTTGTGATTTTTTTATATAGTGCGTTTTGTTTCGCCATATAAATTATATATTACAGAATTCGCTTTTTTGATGTTTTGGGGAGAGATATATAAAGCTTGGCATGGATAAACCAATTTTGAGATACCCTCAGATTTGGACAGCAGACCAAAAATTGACAGATCTCTCATCATCCAATGATTTAATTTTTTCCCCATATTTTAATTTTTTTCGTTAATATTACTTTTTTCTCTTTCTTTTAGTTCTTTTATTAAGTTTATGCCTAGGTATTTAACTTCATGTTTAACGGGGATGGGTGATATATGTTTGTCTGAGCACTGGTACAGTGGTAGTAATTCACATTTGTTTAGATTTATATTTAAGCCTGATGCCCTGGAGAAGATAGATTATGTTTAAAGCTTTCCCAAGTATTGACTTATCCTTTAAGAAGAATACCGTATCATCTGCAAATTGACTTAAACGAAATTCATAATCAAAAACCTTAATCCCTTTAAATTCTGGATGGTTTACAATTAGGTAGGCCAATATCTGAGTACTTAAAATGAAGAGTTTTGGTGATATTGGACACCCTTGTCTTATTCCTCGAGACACTTTGATTCTAGGGGTCAGTCCTGGATTCAAAGAAATATAACTGATTATATCATTGTAAAACAATTCAATAATTTTGCAAAACTTATCTCCAAATCCAAAGTTTTTAGTGTTCTATGGAATCAAAGGCTTTAAAAAAATCAATAAATAAAATGAGACTGTCCGATTCTAGGAGACATTGGTAGTAAAGCATATCCAATTTTAGTCTCACATTATTATGAATATGCCTACCTTTGATGAATGAGTTAGGAGAGATGGGCCCAATCCCAATGTCCCCCCTAAGCCCTGAACCCTCACAGACTTTACTGACATCTCTTGGAAAGTGATTGAGTGCAAGAGGCTGCGATAGCTCAAAATGTTGTAAACAGGAAAAGGACAGCCCTTTGCCACTTTATCACGTTACCTTGATGATGCTGAAACACATTGCGCACTTTTATTTTTTGTTATTTTTAAGTCCTGCAGGCTTTTACCCTGCAGAGTGGAGGAAAGGTAAATGTCAATAATATTTGTAATGAATCAATACACTATTTCTGGTCTAATAGCATCATTAAGCAAAAACTAAAATAAATAGTTAATAAAAAAATAAACTAAGTGTGTAATAAGGTGATT